GCGAATGCTATAGTTGACAAGGTTCTAGAACCAATTAGATTGGGTAGCATATCACTGTGTATATATATATATATATATATATATATATATATATATATATATATATATATATATATATATATATATATATATATATATATATATATATATATATATATATATATATATATATATATATATGATATATATATATATATATATATATATATATATATATGAAGTAAATTACTGTAGGTGCTTGGCGTGATCTGGGTATGTGCTGATAACCTGAGGAAGGAAAACGATCAAATTCACTGTGGAATTAGAGCAAGACTGTAATTGCCATTCCTGGACTGTCTGATACACAGAATAGGTAACACATTTAAGTTCAGTATTTATAGAAAACCAACTAATGTGTGTTCATCTCGTTCATTATTATTCTGCCCACCTAATGAGTCAAACAGTCAGTATTTTCAACAATGTTTTTCGTGCCTTGAGAATTTGCGATTGAATTCATTGATGAAGAATACAAATATATATATAATATTGGCTCAAACCTTAAATACCTAGATCTTTCATAGACAAATGCCTAAACATTACTAAGAAAACTTTTTATAGAGCTGTCCCAAGCCCACCCATGACCATAAGAATATCTTAATATTACCATTTCAAAAATTTCTCACACATTCCTTCACAACTAAAACCTGGAGCGTTATATGTTGGCATTTAAAAACTCATGCACTGTTAAACAAATGTTAATCAAGAACTCCCCCAACAACACAATTGGTTTGCATTTATAAAGTTCCTTGCAAGGAATGTAATATGTTTTACTTAGGCCAGACAGGTAAGATCTTGCAACTAGAATTAAACAACACAAATACAGTGTTAGGACAGGCCAGGAATCCAATGCTCTGTTTGTTCATTTGAGGGATAACAAGCATTGCATTGACTGGGATAATGCCTCCTCAATATTACCATGTAATTCAATTGATAGTAGGAACATCATAGAATCTAGTCTTATTAAACATACGGCATTCAACATGAATTTGAGTAACGGCATGTACAAGCTGGACAATTTTGTAATTAAGAAGATTTGTAATCAGGTGAGAAGGTCAGGTCACCTGACCATCTGACCTGACCACCAACCGTTGTGTGCTATTTAAAGATTAGTAGGGTCATTACCTAATACCTGACCATTGTGGACCTGGTCTCACCCTCCTCTGTATATATACACCTTGGTTTGTATTTCTCTTTAGTCTGTACTCACCCTGAAGATGTGAATTACGAAAGTGCTTGGGAACTTCGTGTTTTTCTTCTTTCCTTGTGGTTATCAGCATATATCTATATCATACACCTACAGTGATTTACTTGCATATATATATATATATATATATATATATATATATATATATATATATATATATATATATATATATATATATATATATATATATATATATATATATATATATATATATATATATATATATATATATATATATATATATATATATATATATATATATAATGTGTAAGGGTATGCTATCACGAATGGATTCTACGAATATTCATAACAAAGCGGTTTTACCTATAAAACTGAGAATGCTATAACGAGCGAAACTTCGTACAATCGATTTTTTTTTTACAAGTACTGTATTAATGATATTCTTTTATTTCAGGGGTTTAGATGCATATTTATGCACTTTTTTACAATTTTATAATTTTTATATTATATTTTTCAGTGTTAAGTGGTTGTATTTGAGGGCCTGGAGCGGTTAATCCTACTCTCGATCGAATGTTATAACAGAACAAGGTTCTAGAACCAATTAGATTTGTTATAGTATACCTCAATATATGTATATATATTATATATATATATATATATATATATATATATATATATATATATATATATATATATATATATATATATATATATATATATATATATATATATATATATATATATATATATATATATATATATATATATATATATATATATATATATATATATATATATATATATATATATATATATATATATATATATATATATATATATATATATATATATTCATTGACCAACATACTAACTTGCCAGATGTGTGTCGTATCCTAGCCTAATTCTGGCCAAGACTACATCACATTGTCTGGTTCTGTCCTTATGCTGGCCATACGATTTTCGTCTGAAATTTGTCATATTTACTAATGCACAACTGCCAGGTCTCTCTTGCATTTCTCAGTTCTTCTAGATCAGAGTTCATGATTCTGACTTGAATGTTTTAAGTACAGAAATACCCGCTTCTGGCGGTTCTCTTTAAAAGCGTTTCTACATTTCTGCCGGTAACCTGCCAGAACGAGATTCTACTTTCTCCTTGTGCATCTACTCATATCGTGGGTGAAGTATAATTTTGTTATTTAACTCATAAAATTCATACAACTTACCCGGCCCAGAATATAATTTACATTGCTGGAATTCTTACAATATGATGATCATTTTGAATATAAACATCGGAGTTTTGCATTAGACATACAAATTTTAGATCTACTGTAAGAATTTTTGTTTACACAGAGCAAATATGTTATCTTTTGTGCAAATGTATATTCTAAAATATTCCTGGTCTTTGAGAATCAGCAATGTCAATTATATTATCTAACTTTAGTCTGAGGTATTATTTATTACTACCTTAAAATCTAGTGTTTTCACCAAACATTTCTCAGAGAGGGAGGAGCCAGTGAGCTGGGAAGAAGGGGAGGTTGGTCCATTATTTGAATGGACATTAACCTGGCTACTGTATTTCTCTTAAATATTAAGTATGTGTGCATACCATCATAAAATTAAGATGTTATTTTACTACAACATAGGTATTGTGTGGGAAAAAAGTGGAGTTTGAAGTCGGCCCAGTCTCTATTTCAATTAATCCCATATGTTCTGTTATTCCATTTCTGGCGTTTCTCGTTTTCACGCGGATCCCATCGGAGTTCAATTGACCTATAATAAATCGGGGTATTACTGTACAGCATGGACAGGCCAAGGTCATTCTGAAATTTAGTTAACAAATTGATAATATACAGTGCAGAAATTATTGAAACACGTAGAGGCATTAGAACCAATGTAATCTGTAAAGAATATAGCATGTGCATCATGGAGCTGCCTCTACAATCAGTGTGTTTGTATGTAAACAAAGCTTCGGGAATGACATACACACCTCAAAAATAAGTTAAAATACAGTATTCTATTGTTTTTTATTTATTATTGTACAGTATACTGTACAGTACAATACTGTATTTAGTTTATATTTAATGTTTTGTTAATTATATTACCGGTATGTATACTTTTTCTGTGAGTTGGAACCAATTACCCAATATCCCATCGAAATAATAGATTTGGTTAACGAAATTTTTGGTTAACAAACGACTCTGTGGAACGAATTGTGTTCGTTAATCGAGGGACCACTGTTTCTCCATTAGCTGGAATCCCTCAAACCAAGAACTCTCCAATAGCCAGAATTGAAATTTGCTCAGACTTTTTCTGGAAAATTCCCTAAATTCGAGGTTTAGGAACAAATTCTGAGGTTGAAAATCAGAAGCATTCTCTGAAGGGAAAAAATCACTCCAAACCTTTATGCTTAGGGCCTGGGGACAAGGGTTCCCGGAGTTATGAAAAACCACATTATGTTTAGCCACATCCTCATACGGTTGGTGCAGGTGTGGGAAGACCAATCGCTTGGGTAATGCTGGATTTTTCTGCTCTGGGTCTATTTATACTTAATGTGTAAATTAAATTATTTCTTTAAATGTACATACTGTACAATACTAAAAAAGTAAAACAACACAATAATAAATCAATGTAATTCCGAGCTGAGCTAACGAGGCAAAGGATGAGGTGACGGAGTCAGGTGGTGAGGTGACGGAGTCAGGTGGTGAGGTGACGGGAGTCAGGTGGTGAGGTGACGGGAGTCAGGTGGTGAGGTGACAGGAGTCAGGTGGTGAGGTGACATGCCAAGACATTTACACAGCACACACATTAACAGCACTACTCAACCAATGTCTTACAACATTTTACTTTATAATTTATATTTTAAAATTAATTGATACATGGTGGCTCAATTTGGCTACTTTTGCACTTAGACAACTGATCAGTGAATAAACCAGGGCATATGGAGACGCATTATACACTAGTGATGTCATGAAGCTTTGCAACTGCTGAGCAACCACATAAATTATCACAACCTGTATTCAAATGTACTGTACTATGTTAATTAAAAAAAAAATTTGTCTAATGCTATCTTGCAAAAATTCCAGCAATGCAAGTTATATTCTGCTAAATCAAATCAGTGACATTTTATAAGCGAAAAACTTTAACTCACTGCCTTTTATAATCCTTGAGTATGCGTTAATCTCCCCTCCTGATTGTCAACACCCCACCTCTCCCCCTCCCAGCCAGCAGGGGAGGCAGATGGCGGTGAGTGATAATGATTAATGGGATGAATTTTGTTTTAGGCTTAAAGTTTTCTCTTATAAAATGTCAGTCTTAGCTTAGCAGCAGAATATAACTTGCATTGCTGGAATCCTTGCAAAATAGTGATTAATTTGAGTATAAACATCTCATAGTTTGCACAATAGATAAATATTTTTTTGTAGTCCTTTAGCATAGTACATTTGAGTACAAAATAAGTACAGTAATATGCTGCTGAAAATTATGGCTTTATCACATGGAAAAGTCTGTATACCTAGCCCCACCCACCCTAAAGATTCACTTTTTTGGGGACTTTCACATTTTCCTGACTTGGGTCTGCCTCAATTAATACATTGTATCGAGGTGTTACTGTATGTTGGGAATGTGTGTGTGTGTATTTGTACTTGCTGAACTATCATTTTTCCTACTTGTTTTGTACCTTTCTCCCTTTTATTCCCCCATTCTTTTTATCCCGCGATCCACCCCAAACAAAATAAGGTGAGAAACGATATAAACACAAATATTTAACATTCAGTACTTTGTGTATGGTATCACTTACCTCTTTCACAACATGGGGATTAAGTTTAATAAGTTTGGGAAGGACAGCAATCACCTCCTTTTTACTAAGACCCGTCAAAACAGGGATAAGAAACCGGACATCAGAAACACGCCGATTATACAGTTCACGGACTCTGCACACCAGGGCCTCACTCGGAGGAGCTGAGAGGAAAAAATATGTACAGCATTACTATTGTGGATTAATTATGCATAAATTAGCAAAACATTCCGAGAGACGAAAGTGGAGCATTCTTGCAACAGTTTAACATAAATAAAATCATTACACATGAAATTATGGTTATATTTCATCTACGTAAGTTTTAGGGGGACCCCAAGAAACAATTTAATATTACAAATGGGAATAAAAAAAATAAAAAAGAGGGGGGGGGGGGCCAAGAAATTTTAGAGCATGAAGGTAATCATGAATAACCACACAAGCATGGAAAATGACTGTTAAATTTGAAGTGCTGATGATGTGTACAAGGAATAAGTTGACCTATGACTCAGTAAACTTTTAATTTGTGAGAAAGCTGGGTCAGTGTGAAATTATTTCATCATCACCACCATTTCCAACACTTGCATGGGTTAGCCATGATTCCCTGAAGTTATAGTGACCTGGCTGTCATTAATCACATTTGAAGCAAATTTTGCAGTTGGACGACCTTCCTATTGCCAACCCACTTTTATAATGGGAACTGATCATTATATGTAGGGCTTTCAAGTGCCCTCATAGCTGGCATGGCAGGGCTGCTACTCCCTGAGGTAATTAAGTTTGCCCACTTACTCAAGAAAAGGTTTTTGGAATACAGTATAGGTTTTAACTAGAAAGCATCAGGACCCCCAACAATAACCTCACTGTGTGACCACGAGAACTCTCATTACATAACTATTCAGTCACCCAGATTTTAAACACAGGTTCAGTCTATCTCCATCAGGGTTGTTGGCATAGTCAACATTAGCACCATCATAATTATCTGCTGACCACACTACACACCATATAGTGAGGCACTGACAATCTCAAATGTTGCATCCAAAATACTCCCAAACTAGACATCAGGATTTCACTTGGTTAAATTATTCTTTATATTTTAAATTCTAAAATGAATCTGTTATATGTATCTTTCAACTTTATATCAAACTCACCTTTTTCTGTGAGAATGTGGATGATTCTAGTGATGAGCGTTTCACCACCTTTTGGACAAGTCTCTACAAGTGTTAACAATTGGGGGGAGTCCATACCCATATGTCTGATTGGGCCCTCTAGTAATCTCAGGATAGAACGCTTTGCCTCATTCACAGTCTTCACATACACCTGGGCTAGGCTGAAAGTGGAATAAATATTGTGCATGATAATAACATAACATTTCTGAAACAAGAATATATGATATGATAGCAATCCTCAACTTGAGAAGTCTGTCAATACTTCTGGTTTACTTTTAAAACAATAAAGTAAAACTACACACAATATGATCCCATAGAACTCATTATTGTTAAGATAAGAGACCAGGTTTCATATTGCATAGCATAATCCCTTCAACATGGTAAGGTTAGTACATTTGAACAGTCCTGTATAGAAAGTGAGTCTTCTATCAATCATATTAGATGTCTCCAAATACTGATTATGCTAGAAAGGTGTGAGCACCAGCACCATTAATCACTATCTACAAAGCATGTACTGTAGTTATGTTTCCTTGTCTACTCTATTTTCAAATTGTGAACTGTATTAATATTAAAATCTTGAGGTTTATCTATCAATAGTAACTCATATAATACTGTATTTGAGAGGGAACATAGGTAATTACTTGTATGTACAGGAAAATCCTGAATTTACATAGTGCAGTAATGTAATACGGGTACAGTAGGGTCTCAGAGTATGTGAGGGTTATGTTCCTGGGATTCCTGCATAAGTGCAAAATTAACATACAATATATTCGGGTCCTCCATGTATATTTGCTAAGGTAACCGACACACAACTTCCGAGTTCGATATGCCAATATCTTGACTTTTTCTTCAAAAGTTCTCACAATATGCATTTTTCTTTTTCTCATTCTCACAGCACTTGGGAGACGTTCAAGGAATTAGCGAGCGAGAGAAAAGGACGCCTGAGTTATGTTATGGTTATTTTTGAACTCGTAATTTGGGTAGATATAGTGTACATATTTTTAATATATATATTTTTTTTACTGTTAAATGCACACAATCGCTCATACAAGTACCCCTCCCCCACCCAAAAAAAAAAAATAAATAAATAAATAATAATTATGTGGGAGTTGGCATACAGAGAGGGGGGAAGGGGAGGGCAGAGTGGCATGGGGGATCTTGGCTGTTCGCTGTCTCATGTCCCATGTATAGTGAAATGATTGCCAAATAACAATGCAGAGTTTATTTTATTTTATTTACCACTCACATTCGATGGTAGTGTGTATAATATTTTACGTACAAAGAATAGCTCCTTCCACGCTCAAACCATCCTCTGGGAGATGTGACACAGTTCAGCTGCTCAGTCGGGCGGGAGCATGTCGAGACAGCTACCTCTCCCTGCCTCCATTCATGAATGTTCGCTTCCCACACATACACACCCAAGCTCTTCCTTTTTCTTATTTTAAAGATTTATATTTTCTTAATTTCTAAAGCATATTAGAATATTGTAATGATTTTAGTATTATTTTTTTTTCTCAAATGCTTAATTCAAAAAGGCGTAAATTAAACATAATTTTCCCATAAGAATACATGTAAATGGTACAGATTAGGGGAACCATCATATACCACACAAGGTATGAACAGTGCTCTCACTTAAACCAAGCACGCGGCCAACCTCGGACACACGCTCTCCTCTCTGAAGGCAGGTGATCACATTTAATTTCATGTCCATTGTGATTGTTTTTCATGTTTTTCTTTTTAGCTTTAGACGCCCCAGAGGAGGCAGACGGACGTTTTCCAGACAATGGAAATGAGAGCACAGAGAAAAAGTAGTGCTGGTGTGAACTGAGAGAGAGATTCGTGGGAAGCTTGCTGGACGTCGTCACAGTTGTTGTACAGAATACTTCATTATCATCATTATCTTCATCATTAGTAGTAATAATCTTTATTACAGTACTGTATTACATTACTGTACTATAATAATTATTATGATTAATAATATCAAAATCGTTGATGTTGATATGACTGCGACTTTATAGTAGTAACTTATAAGCACCTCACCAGGCATCACACTCGACTCCACTGCCAGGCTACCAGGTGAATACCCGCGGCAAATTTAAATTGTCTTGAGTTATTTGAAAAATAGGTGCATGTAAATTAGCTTTTGGTATTAATTGAACAATCGCGTTATTCCAAAAATGCTTTAATAAAACGCCCGTAAAACACGAGTTACCTGTACAGTACTAGTTGGTATATTAAAAAAAAAAAAAAAAATTATAGTACTATTATATTTTTCATTTCTAAGGCACATTAATGATTTTTTTCATAACGTTCGTGGTTTTATTACATGTTAACAAAATACGACGTGGCTGGGCAAGGGAGTCAGTGACGCAGTTACAGCCCACTGCCTAAACACACGGTCACTTCCCACGCTTTTTTTTACGATTAGCCCACCCGGCACAGGTCACTGACCCACATCAGGGCCTAGGGGCGAAAATGTAATAATTATTCATAGTAAATAAAATTTATAATAAAAAAAAAAAAAAATAATAATAATAATAATAACACTGTAATAATAATAATAATAATAATAGTAACGATAAAGAACTAAAAAGAAAAAAAATTGTGAGAAACAATATATGCATGTTGTGTTGTCAAGTAAGAGAAACAATTGAGACCCTGCAATTGTGTGTAAATGAGGCAAAAAATCAGATCAGCAACCTGGTCATAATTTTCGTGGTGCCATATGGCAGCAGGGCCTACCATTAGACAGCACATTATGTTTCCAATATCTTCCCAGGCAGTAGTACCTCCCTGTTTGATAGCTGCCTACCTACTACCTACACGCCCATGCTAATCATCTTTTTTTCTTTTATAGTTTTATATTAGATTTTCTTTATTTCTAATCCACATCGCTTAAGTAGAGTGGAATAAGTGTTAAAGAAGTCATTTTTTCTGCAAATCAGTGTATTTTTTTGAGCATTTAAATTTCAAAACAATTATATTTTTTCTCCAATGAGCAAGGACAAGCGAAAAACACAGTAATTGGGGACTGCTTATGAAAATGAACAGATTTGTATAAAAATGGACTTCTGAAACACAAATTTGAGAGGTCAACCTGTATCACTATGCACTGTAAGATTTATTATAGGGTGATCCCAAGAGTGAGGCTCAACTAACTGGAAATTCTCTTTATCCGACACCTCTCAATCCCTATAAGTGCCGGATAACCAAGATTCTACTACTCCTCGACTTACGACCACCTGGACATACGACCGCCACAGTCGTAAAAAAATATTTTTCAAATTACCATGTATACTGGAAAGTGGGATAAAATCGTGACGAAAGCAATGACTTTCGCTTTCTTTCATTCAAAAGATGTTACCGTAATCGCTTTTCAGTAAAAAAACTGTTGTATTACAATAATATTCTATCCTAATTCACTTGTGATGCAACAGTTTTTTAACTGAAAACCATTCGAAAAACACGTGTACCGTCTAGCTGATACGGCAGAGCCCCGGTCGCAATCAGACCAGAAATTGTGGTGAAATCTTTTAAGAAATGTGGGATTTCGAATGCTCTTGATGGAACAGAAGATGACTTGTTGTGGGATTATGAGGCTAATGAGAGCGTGAATAAGGATGAAGATATTGATGATCCTAAGGCTGATGATGGTGTTGATCCATATGACGATACTGCTCAAGGAGAGGACTGGGAGTAGCTGTTTGGTGCTGTTGACAAGGAAAATGATTTTGATGGATTTTAATGAAAATATTCAGAAATATGATATCGTAGTATTCATTCAAGTGAATTAGGATAGAATATTATTGTAATACAACAGTTTTTAACTGAAAACCATTCGAAAAGCGATTACGGTAAAATCTTTTGAACAACGAAAGAAAGCGAAAGTCATTGTTTTCGTCATGATTTTATCCCACTTTCCACTGTAATACGTACGTCATTTCAGCAAAAATATTACATTTCCATATTTATTTCTGAGAATATATTCATTCAGTCACAGGTAAGGTAAAATATACTTGTGATGTAACATTTTAATGAAAATACCCGGTATTTAGAAATACGGTATCGTAGTTTTCTTTTGTTTCAAATTTAATTAACAAAGATTGATGTTTCAAATGTAATGAACAAAAATTTATGTATCTATAAATAAACATTAAAAAATGAATACTTTATGCATTTGGCTACTTTGGGCTTGCTATGATGACGCAAGATATCTGCCCTGGCAACTGTACCGACACTCACAGCTGGTGGTGCGTCATTTCCATTGTTTACTGGTAGTTACTGGTAAATATTTTTCAACATAACGAAACTATTACTCGTTTAGAGGTCGACCCCCAATTTTTTGTCAAAAAATTTGGTCTTAAAAACTCGAACTACACACAGGTATATACGGTACATATTTCTGAGTCCCAATGTTAGTGATTGCGCTGTGTACTGACAAAATTTTTGTTTGTAATTCCCTTTAAAATGGCTGGCAAGTGTAAAAGTGAGAGTTCTCGTGGTGCTGAGAAGAAAGAGAGACACCCATTTTAGATTTTCTATGTAATATTTTCACATTTTCTACTTCCGACCTGGTCGTCAGTCCCTAACCCTGTCGTAAGTCGAGGACTGACTGTATACTGGGCATGAATTCAGTCCCAAGCCACTTCATAAATATGGAATTTTAAAGTACAGGTGTCCCCCATATCACAGAAGCTCAGGTTGTGGAAATTCACCCATACAGAATTTGTAAATTATGACCACTAAATTCAGGATATGGCACATAAATTCAACCTTATGGAAATAGGGTAAATTTTCAAAAAAAAAATTTTTTTATATAGAACAAAATAAAATTTCTTTGACATTATAATTTATTTGGTGTGGATTTCTTGGTGTCTGCTCCCACCAAGCGTGGGTACACAGTGCATCCATGCCACCGGACTCAGTTTGTTTATATCTCCCAGCATGCATATATGATCTCTCGACCCCAGCTCCTGGATTTCACACTTATTCGAAACTGTCCAGTGTATTAACCTTATTCAAGATGAGTGGAAAGAGGCCACCAACTGCAAGTAAAAACAGTAGTGCTAAAAGAGCCAGTAAAGGAATTACGTTGGATAAAAAACGTGATGCTTTCTGGAGTTTGATGTGGGAGAAAAACTTTGGCAGATTGCAATAATTAGGGCTTGCTACATCTCCAAAGACCTCCCACTGCACCAATCACCTCATGCAGCACTCATCATTGTTTGTGGCGAGTTAAATTCAAGTGTTTTGTGTATTATCATATTACAGTGGTAGCGGAAAGTTTGGGCGCAAGACGAATGTAAACAATTGTGACATTTAAATAGATATTTAAAGGGCTCATGACGTACCTTATTTGCCAAGCGATTTTCCTCTAAGCTTGATGACCTTCTTCAAACGTTGTGGGATGCATCTTGCCAGTTTTTCTACGTGTTGGGGAATGATATTATCCCAAATATCCTGTATTTCTAATTTTAGCTTCGCTACTGTCGAAGCGTCACGATCCTGAAGCTCTTTTTTAATGATATGCCACACGTGCTCTATGGGATTTAGGTCTGGTGAATTCCCAGGCCACTTTTTGAAGTAATCTACACCACAGTCCTCTAACCACTGGATAATAGATCGAGCTGTGTGAGCAGGAGCTCCATCTTGCATAAACCAGCTAGCGTTACACTTTTCAAAGCTTTCAGGCAGGTTATCACACAATAACTCGAAATAACTGTGCTGATTTACACTCATTTTTTTCAAAAAATACTAAATTGCCAACTCCACCAAATGCAAAGCATCCCCACACCATAACACTTGGAGCATGCTTTACAACTTTAGCTGTGTAGCGGGGGTCATTTGGGTCCGATCCTTTGGGACGCCTGACACGCTTGGACCTGCAGCCAGATGACACCACAAACGTTGACTCATCACTCCACAAGACTTGTTCCCAGTCTTCTAGGGTCCAATCCTTATATTTCTTGCTAAAAGCAATGCGATCCCGTACATTTTTTGCACTTAAGAGGGGAAGAACTTTAGCACAACAACTGCGATATTGTAAATCTTTGAGTAAATGATCAGAAATACATCTTACAGACACGTCCTGGAGCAGTGCAGGGTTATTTTCCTTCAGTTTTCGAGCTGTGAGTGTTGGATTTTTATCCAACTGCCTCTTTATAACCTTGGAAGTACGATTTTGTATTTTCCTTGGCCTACCAGAGCGAGGCTTGGGGGTAGGAATATCCTCACCTCCGCCGTCTCTAAATTTCTTGATCCACTTTTGAACTTGGCGCACTCCTATTCCCACACGAGTGGCTATATCTTTACACTTATAACCCTCCTTATAGAGGGTTATAATAGCAACAATTGTGTCTCTTCCCAGCTCTGTACCACTTCCCATTACAGAGATATTGAGGCAAAAACACAGAACAAAACGCAAAAAAACGACTAGTCCGCGTGAGAGAAGTTTACACACTGCACCCATGTGCTCACTGAAGCGACTAATCAGAGTTGCCAAGTAGTGCGTATTGTCTCGCCTAAATAGCGGTACAAACCCTAGCATTGAAATATAGCGAAAAGTTTGAGCGGAAATTGGTATTTATCGTATGTTTTGATAATAGCGGAAAGTTTGGGCTCCTGTAATTTTGCGCCCAAACTTTCCGCTACCACTGTATATCATAATATAATCAACATATGTTTAAAAAACTATTATTTTCATTCATAAGTGTTCTTGTATTACTTCTTTTGCCAAAAAAGTTTCTTAAGAAGCACATCTCAAATGAGAAAATGGGGATCACATTACAGTCAACTTCTCAAGGACACATCCCTTCCATAACCCAGGGGATTATTGTGCTTAAATGTTGATATATCGAGTTTTCCTACAATATAGAGCTGTAGAGGAATATGACCTCGTTACACAAGTTACTTCCCTACTTCTTACACGTTATAAAGATTTTAAAAATTTTGCAAAACACTTGTTTAACACTGTTCTTCAACTAAAGAATATTTTTTTTTTTACAAAACACCATCCATTTCCAATTCAAGATGATCAACAGATAAATGTATTCAAGATGTGAATTGGTAATTACATCAAAATCTGCCAAGTAAGCTAACACTGGTAACCAAGGAACTAATTAACCATTTTTTTTTACATTAATATACAGTACACTAACTTCTGATTCTTAAAACTTACTCATGAATCAGAGACTGATTAAGGGGAAGTAAAGCAAGATATAGGTATAAACAAGCTTTAACTGTTGTTTCTGTCCATTCACTGGGTTGATGAGGTCTGCCTAAATTGTGTGTGCACAGGGACTCAGGTGGCACTTCTAGGTAAAGGTATTTAAGATACTTGACAGCAGCTTCTGTTACAATATCACGAAGGCTTTCTTGATCACACAACTCGAGGAGAATCGGTGTCACCTGGTCCCGCACCTGTGAGAAAGATAGAAATTATTATCAGCATCTGCAAATAAGAAATGAACAAGTAATCTATTTGATGAGTTACTCTCCTCAGTAGCCACATCCATCTCATCATGACATGTTTAAGGGATGAGAAGTGATGAAGAATCTGACAAGTGCAGCACAACCACCTATAAGACATGTTAAAACAAATGATTAACAACAACAGTAAAAGGAGCTGAACATACCATCTCATCATACCACCAATAGACCACTATTCAAAAAACATATGAAAGTATGTTCAAGTGCTGCAGTGGCCTGTGAACCTCATAAAGAATGTATTGAACCAGATGATGCACAAGCTGTTAACAGGATGAGATCAAGCAGATTCAGATATTGAAGATGGGTCATCATTATTTACAAACATATGCTGAATCCATGCCAAACTGACTTCAAATGTAGGGGCGGATCCAGAAATATAATAAGGGGGGGGGGGGGTCCAAGAAGTTGCAGGTGAGAGAACATGGTGAGCACAGCGAGCCCACCCAACTGGGGAGTTTTACGGAGGCGTTGTAATCCCCCTATAATGATTTTAAATCTGACCAATATCATAGGCACTTGATATTAGGAGATATTCTGAGGGCAATAGTAACTACTTTTACTATTAAAAAAATATCTGAGTATAATACTGCATTCAAGAAAAAATATTTGAATTTTCTGTTGAAAAGGAGGGGCTCCAGGCCCCCAGAACCCCCCCCCCTGGATCTGCCACTGAAATGGCTGTTAAAATCAAAGGAAAACATGACCACATATTAACAAATATAATGTAAAGGTTTGCATATGTTTTATATGCTTAATTATCCTCAACATATATTTATGTTAAGTCATGTAACAATGCTACAGGGATCAATATTTTTGTGTAGTATACTGTAACTGCACCTATCAACTGCAACTTTGAAGACAGTATCTTTGTATGTTCCCAATGTTCTTCAAACCATCCCCCCTTTGACCCTTTTGCATGTGTCCACAGTTTCTCAATCATAATAAAAAAAAAGTTCATCCACATTATCTATTCCAAGCTCATCAATATTTTTTACCTTCTCACTTTCTTTAACCTCTTTCCCCCTGAACCTTCCATTCACTATTAATCTCACATTTGTAAAGTTAAGGGAAGACAATTTGTGTGCCACATCAAACATCATGTCCATCAACACATAGTCTAACAATCCCAGTCTTTGCCATGGATACTTATCAATTTCTTTTAAATTATGTACAGTAGACTGTCGACAACTCCCTATTTGCAACCCATGACCTCTAGTATTAGTAAATTTTCCAAGAGTAGAAATCCATCTTGGAGGTGAAACTGCTATCCTGTAACATGAAAACACCATAATCTACAAAATGCTATTTATTATAACAGCATACTGAGGGTAAATCACATTCACTTCCTACAAACCACCTTCAAATTTACTTAAAATCAGAAAATGTTAAATTTTGTTCATTATAAATTATCAGTTACACCCACAGACCATATTTGGTAGATTAAATTCCAAATTTTAACATTAAAAAATAAATAAAATTAAATTCGTGTGCTAACAACCACGCACGTAAGAAATGTTTATTCCCTTTACTTTTGACCATATGATAATTATTTCCTTAGATAGATAGATAGATAGATAGATAGATAGATAGATAGATAGATAGATAGATAGATAGATAGATAGATAGATATATATATATATATATATATATATATATATATATATATATATATATATATATATATATATATATATATATATATATATATATATATATATATATATATATATATATATATATATATGTATTATTCTCGCCTAACGCGTTTCACTTAACGCTGCTGATCATATACGTGCCTCACAGAGCTGAACTTTCACTTAACACTGATTTTTCCATATACGCGGTGAGTGTCCGGCTCGAGACGCTATTTTTAGATTTGCCCTACCCGCCACCCTGCCTGACTGCCTGTTTTAGCTTATAAAATTCATACAAATTACTCCGGGCCAGAATATAATTACATTGCTGGAATTTCTATATTTGGTGATTATTTTGAATATAAACATCATATATTTTGCATTAGACATACAAATTTTAGATAACATTTTTTCTCTGGGTAACTATGTTATCTTGTGCAAAATATATGACATTTATATTCAAAATATTCCTGGTCTCAAGGAATCCAGCAATGTCAATTATATTATCCTAACTTTAGTTTGAGTATTATTTATTACAAAAGTTAAGATTTTGGTTTTCCCACACATCTCCTGGGACGGTTGGGGGTGGGGGAGGAGGGACCGACTGACCATCTGTTACCCCTGAAGAATATTTTTTTTTATTAACTGAAGATATTGTTTTAGCTCATAAAATTCATACAAATTACTAGGTCAGAATATAATTTACATTGCTGGAATTTTATAATTGATGATTTATTTGAATATAAACATCATATATTTTGCATTAGACATAAAATTTTTAGATAAAATGATTAATCTGAGTAAGTATGTTATCTTTTTGCAAAATATATGACGCTTATTCAAAATATTCCTGGTCTACAAGGAATCCAGCAATGTCAATTATATTATCCTAACTTTAATCTGAGGTATTATTTAATACAAAATGTTAAAATTTATTTTTCACCCACTCTTTCTCTTGGTGGGGGAGGTTGGACTGACCGCGCAGTTGGAAGAGGGGGAGGCAAGGGGTACTTTGATTGACAGATAGTGTCCTGAAGATTATTTTTTTTTATTAACTGAAGATATTTGTTTTAGCTCATAAAAATTCATACAAATTACTCTGCCAGAATATAATTTATATTGCTGGAATTTTATATTTGAGATCATTTTGAATATAAACATCATATATTTTGCATTAGATATACAAATTTTAGATAAAAATTTTTCTGAGTAACTATGTTATCTTTGTGCAAAATATATATGACATTTATATTCAAAATATTCCTGGTCTTACAAGGAATCCAGCAATGTCAATTGTATTATCCTAACTTTAGTTTGAGGTATTATTTATTAAAATTTAGTGGTTTTCCCCCAAAATTTCTCAGAGGAAGAGCCGCAGTGTAGTGTGAGAGGGGAGGGAGTTGAGTCCATTATTTGAATGGACATTAACTTGGCGACTGTATTTCTTATTTCTCTTAAGTATTAAATGTGTGCATGTACCATCATAAATTAAGATGTTATTTTTACTACAAATATAGTTATGTGTCTTCAAAAGTGGAGTTTGGGGGTCGGGCCGTTTCTATTGGAATTAATCCCATATGTTCTGTTGTTCATTTAACGCTGATTTCACTTAACACGGACCCTCGGTTCTATTGATCGCTATAAGGGGGTACAACTGTGTGTGTGTGTATATATATATATATATATATATATATATATATATATATATATATATATATATATATATATATATATATATATATATATATATATATAGCTCTAATTCTCGTATTGGACCCCTTTAATCCGGATTTCGAAAAATTGACAAAATCTGAACGAACTTTTATTTATTTATTTTTTAAGATTTTAGGAATATTACCTATGCGGACCTAAGCTAAAATGCTGGTCCACCCACTGCTGGGATAAAACACCAGCTCTTTTTGGTTAAATGTACATCTCCACCACTAGTGTGGGGATGCAACTTTAGCTTCAGACATGAAAAATATTTACCATTTACTGCCAGTAAACAATGGAACGTAAAATATGTACCAATTAGTAATGAAAGTTGTGCAGTTCCTTCAGCAAATGAAGCTCACCAACTTACAATAGGCTAAATTACTCACGTGTTTTCAGTAGTCTATGTTGAAGTTCTTAGCATAGGCTAACTTATCATATCATATACGGTATCACAGTTCTCATTGATCTACAAAAATACCGATTAAAAAACCTTTTGATATTTCACACTTAATATAATACCCGGAATCTACTTCAACCTCCTATTGTTTACATACGATGCATGACGACCACCAGCAGTTGAGTATCAGCTAGACGGTAACGTGTTTTTCGAATCGCTTTCAGTTAAAAACTGTTGTATTACAATAATATTCATCCTAATTGACTTGAATAAATACTACGATACCATATTTCTGAATATTTTCATTAAAATCCATCCAAAAATTTTCCTTTGTCATCGTCTGCAGCACCAAACAGCTTCTCCCAGTCCTCTCCTTGAACAGGGCTAGAGGGTACGTGTTTTTCAATCGTTTTCAGTAAAAACTGTTACATCACACGTATATTTTACCTAAACTGTGCCTGAATGAATATATTCTCGGAAATAAATAGTAGTTTTCCTGAACGTGATGTATTTCAATGTAAATAGGATAAAATACACGGCTAAAAACAAAAGACTTTACCTAAGCTTCCGATGTTCTTGAGATGTTATTCGCTTTTTTTACTAGTTTTCAGTTAAAATACTGTTATATTACAATGATATTCTATTCATACTGTGCGTGATATAATACATTCACGAAATGTAATATTTTTTCTGAAATTACGTACGATACAGTGGAAAGTGGGATAAAATCGCGACGAAAACAATGACTTTGAAATATAATGCAATATTAACCCTTAAATCGTTATTCTGACAATCGGCTAAACGACACCCTTCCCCCTATTAAGTAGGGTCTGTATATATATATATATATATATATATATATATATATATATATATATATATATATATATATATATATATATATATATATATATATATATATATATATATATATATATATATATATATATATATATACACACCTAGACCTCTACTCATTTAATTACATGGACTTACGAACTGCCGGGGACTTACGACTGCCTCAGATATATAAAAAAAAAAAAAAAATTTTTTTTTTAAATGACACACGATTTTCTATACTGAAACGTTTCCAGTTAATGTAGTCTCCATGTATAATTAGGAAAATTATGAGGGCCCCATGTTAG